GTTCTCCTCTGCCTGGTATGGGAGAGGGGGACAGATCTACAAATGGAAATTTCCTTTATAAATGGAAATTTCCTTTACAAGAGGAAAACATATGCCCTGTTTATAGAGCTTTCCCTGTGTCTGCTGGTTCTTTTTTTTTTTTTTTTTTTTTTTTGTGAGGAAGATCAGCCCTGAGCTAACATCCATGCCAATCCTCCTCTTTTTGCTGAGGAAGACTGGCCCTGAGCTAACATCCGTGCCCATCTTCCTCCACTTTATATGGGACGCTGCCACAGCGTGGCTTGACAAGCGGTGCGTCAGTGTGCGCCTGGGATCCGAACCTGTGAACCCCGGGCCTCCGAAGCGGAGCGTCACTGTGCCACCGGGTGGCCCCTGTCTGCTGGTTCTCGATGGCCTTTAGCTCGAAATAATCCAGACGCCAAAGAGGCCTATTTTGGGGTGGCAGATCTGGCGTCCTTCAGAATGAAGGCAGGACATCTAGAGCAAGAACGTTCCGGGCGGAGCAGGTAGCAAGTGCAGAGACCTGAGCTGAAATGTGTTGGCATGTTGGAGAAACAGCCAAGAGGCCAGGGGGCTGGAGGGAAGTGCAGGAGTGGGGGCAGCTGTTAGCAAACCATTCACACTGCTCTGCACTTCACTGCTCCTCCAGGAACCACACTCTCTTGGCCTTTGTCCCAAACCAGACTAAATCAAACTGCCTCATTCTGTTGTAGAAGCTCCAGGTAGTCCGCCATATGGATAGAGTGCAATTTATTGAACTGGTTGTAGGGTTTTTCTTTTCCTTTTTTTTAAAGTACCAGGAGGTATGAAATGAAACTCAGGAAGCGGCTGGAGTGGGTTATAAAAGGAGGAACATAAAGAGCAGGTGTGCTCTCAACAGCTGCAAAGCCCAGCGCAAGAGTGGAAATGGAGGCCCACGTACCATAGGTCTAAACATTAAAAGTTATAAATTAATTAACATACTGTTAAATAAAATATGTATTATCTTCCTACCTTGACAAATTGATCTTCATAACAATCTGGAAGGTCAGAATTAAATTTAGAATTTCAGGCTCTTTGGGGTTCTGCACCCAGCCCATGGCTTGCCCATTCCTCTTCCCACTCCCAGCTCCACCCTGCACTAAGAAGGCACCTGAATGCACAGGTGTGGACACCTCAGCCCGTCTGTCGAGTTTCCATCTCTGCTGCCCTGGGCCTAGGGCAACTCTGGAGGATGGATTCAGGAAAGAGGCCCAGATAGGCCCTACAAGCAGGTTGGGGCCATTTGAGCAAGTAATTACAAGGTGCCACGTACTCAGATTGTGGCCTAGAAGTGTGTCCTGGGGAGGACAGATGCTGGGAGGGCAGGACCCTTTGATTCTACAGACTTCCTGTCGCTTCGGGAGGGATGTGGCTGGGGGAGAGTCAGAGCAGGGTCCTGTGAAGCACAAGGCCCAGGGAAGGGACCCCACTAGCCCAAGTCTAAGGCTGCTGAAGAGCGGACACAGCCTGTGTACCATGGGGAAGAAACTGACAGCATGGAGAAAGTGAGCAAGACAGAGCAGAGAGCCGGAATCAGCAGCCCAGCCAGCTGGAGGGACCCAGGCTGAGCAGGCAGCAGGAAGAGAGAGAGCTGCAAGCTCTCCCATGGCGTGCCCACGTCAGCACTGGCCCAAGGGGAAAACTTGATCCTTAGAGAGGAAGGAAACACAGCTCTTACCTGCTCCTAACGACAGCAGCCACTGAGACCACACGGAGAAAGAATGAACAAGGAAGCGGAAAGAAATAATGAAAATACTATCATCTCTTCTGTTGGTCAGTGAACATCACTGTAAAGTCTACTGCTCTCCTGCAAGACACATAGAACTGGGAATGTGGATTCCAGGCCCAACTTGGTGGCTAATTAGCATTGAGAGGTTGAGCACGTCGCTTTGCACCTCTGTCTGTTTCCTCATCTATCAAATAAGGGTATACTTGCCCCATCTCTCTACTTGCAAGGGATTTTTATGATTATTTAAAAAATGTATTCCTTTGCTGGATGTGAATTTTCTCTTTCAAAGCTGGCTGGCTGGCTCAACATAACCTTGATGCAACCTTCACTAGAATCAGGACGAGCAATGGTCAAGCCGCCTCCTGCCAGAGAAGCATCCAGACAAGGAGGGCCGGCTGAGAGGGAAGACAAGCCAGCCTTTCTTGGAAAGGAAGGGTGGCCAGCCTTTGCAAGCACCTGTCTGTGAACACCAGGGTGAGTAGGGTAGGGCATCTGAAAAACAAACCCCAGACATTTCCACTGGCAGGTGGTCCTATGCACAAAGGACCTCTGTCACTTGCATTTCACTTAGCTCCTAGGGACAAGAGCAGACAGGCAAGGGGGCAGATTTCAAGCACTCGCTCTGTGCAGAGCTGAGCTGGACACATTAGGGAGCTTGCCAGTGGATGAGCAGACGGAGGACACATACTGAACAACAGAAGGGTCCTTTACAGAGCAATGTGTCCACATGTGCCTGTGTGTGGATCAGTCCTAATGACTGTCATTACTGAGGATAGACTGCCAAACTTTATAGATTTGATGCAATCCCCATCAAAATCCCAGCAGGCTACTTTGAAGAAATAGACAAGATGATTTGAAAATGTATATGGAAAAGCAAAGGCTCTAGAATAGTCAAAATAATCTTCAAAATGAGCTAAGTTGGAGGACTTACACTGCCTGATATCAAGACTTACATAAAGTTACAATAATCAGGATGGTGTGGTATTGGTGTAAGGCGAGACAAATAGATCGATGGATCAGAATAGAGTCCAGAAATAGATTCACACATATACAGTTAACTGATTTTCTAAAAAAGTGCCAAGTCAAGTCAATGGGGAAAGGAATGTCTTTTCAATAAAAATTGCTGGAATAACTGGAAATCTATTTAGAAAAAAATGAATCTTGACCCCTATCTGACTTTATTCACAAAATTAATTTGAGATGGATCATGGACCTAACCTTAAACTCCAGAATCATAAAGCTTCTTGAAGAAAACAGAAGGCCATCTTTGCGATGTAGAGGTAGGGAAAGATCCTTGGGCAGGATACAAGAAGAAAAAAATTGATAAAATGGCTTCATCATAAGTTAAAATTTCTGCTTATCAAAAGACTCCATTAAGAAAATGAATTGACAAGCTGCAGACCTGGAAAAAAAAATCTTTGCAGCCACATATCTGAGAAATGATTTATAGCCAATACATGTAAAGAGCTCTTACAAATCAACAATAAGAATATAAACATTCTGGGGTCGGCCCTGTGTCCTAGCGGTTAAGTTCGGTGCACTCTGCTTTGGTGACCTGGGTTCAGTTCCCAGGCACCGATCTACACCACTCATCAGCAGCCATGCTGTGGTGGCAACCCACATACAAAATAGGGGAAGACTGGCACAGATGTTAGCTCAGGGCAAATCTTCCTCAGCAAAAAAAAAAAAAAGAAAAGAAAAGAATATAAACATTCTTATTACAAAATGGGAAAAGACTTCTTCGACAGACACTTTACAAAGTAAGATTTACAAGTGACCAATAAGCAGTTTAAAAAGTGCTCAACATCACTAGTCATCAGGGAAATGGCTCTCAAAACCACAGGGAAATACAACTTCATACACACCAGAATGGCTAAAATCAAAGAGTGATGTTCCAGTTATCTATTGCTGCATAACTTATCATACCAAACTAAGTAACTTAAACAATTAACATCATTTTATTATCGCTCACAATTTCTTTGGGTCAGGAAGTTGTGAAGGGCTTGGCTGGGTGGGGCTGCCTGGGGGTCTCTCCACTGTTGCAGACAGGATGTGGAAAAGTGAGGGCTGGATCAGATGCAGCATCTCTCTCTCCCTTCACGTAGTCTTAGAGTCTCCATGTGGTCTAGTTGGGCTTCCTTGAAGCATGGCAGCCTCAGGGTACCCAGATTTCTTATCAGGAGGCTCAGTTCTCCAGGAGCAAGTCTTCGCTAACAAGACGGGTGGTGCATGACCTTCTATGACCTAGCCTAAGAAGTCACAGTGTCACTTGTGCCACATACTGTTGGTTACAAGTGAGTCAACCAACCCACCCAGACTGAAGGAGAGTGGAATTAGGCTCTGTCTCTTGATGTGGGAGTGGCAAGATTCTAGAAGAGCATGTAGGACGAGAGAGGTTATTGCAGTCATTTTGGGAAAACACAATCTGTGGTGGATAAACCTGGAAAGAAAAGCAGGTGACAGAGCATATCAGGCCTTGCAAGCTACACTAAAGTTCAGTCTTCATATGAATTGTGACGGGGACCCACTGGAGGGTTTGAAGCAAGAGAGTGAAATTATCCAATTGTCTTAAAAAGTTCATTCTAGCAGCTGTGTCGATAAAGAATTTGTGGGGAGGGTTTGGACGCAGAGAGACCATTTAGGGGAAGGGCGGGGGTCCAGAAGTTCAAGTGCCAGACATGGCGGTCAGCTCGAGCCTAGGGGAGGGCACAGGGAGAGAGGAGGGGCACTAAAAGCAGGCTGTTTCTGGCCCGTCCAGGTTGAATGTGTTGGGCTTGAAAGGCTCGAGTAGACGTACGAGACTGGAACTTGGGAGATAAAAATTTAGGAGAGAACAAACAGCATTTTAAAAGGCACGGGAGGGCCAGCCCCGTGGCTTAGTGGTTAAGTGCGTGCGCTCTGATGCTGGCGGCCCGGGTTCGGATCCCGGGCACGCCCCAAGGCACCACTTCTCCCTCCAACGCGAGGCCGAGTCCCACGTACAGCAACTAGAAGGATGTGAACCTACGACATACAACTATCTACTGGGGCTTTGGGGGGAAAAACATGAATAAATAAAATCTTTAAAAGGCACGGGAGTGGACGACATGCGTGCCAGCCCAAGCATTTAGGATCTCTCACTCTCCCTTTTCGCACTGCAGACCATACCTAGGTTTCAAGCAGACTGAAACACGCATGCGCACACCTACGTCCACAGTGGGCACCTGGGCAAAAGCCTCCCGATTGCGCAGGCGCGGTGTGCGCGGTCGCCATGGAGACGCGTGGTCCTCCAGGCGCTCGGCCCCCGGAGCCACCCGCTGGGCGGCAGCCGGTCTTGGGCTGTTCCGGGCGCGGGTGGCGGCACCGCGGGCGGATGGACCGCCACGGTGAGCCGGGGGCGTCGGGATACGGCGAGGAGGACGAGGATGAGGAGGGGCGAGAGGGCGGCACTGCGGGCTCGAAGGGGTCCAGACTGCCCCCAATTGCGGGCAGCACCTCAGAACCGACCAAACGGAAGGTGAAGAAGAAAAAGAAGAAGAAAAAGACCAAGGGGTCGGGCAAGGGGCACGGTAAGAGGAGCAGCTAGCGCGACAGACTCCGCTCCCGTTTCTGAGTTCTTCTCCAAGAACACCCACCCACCGCTCACAGAGGCCCCATCTACTTGGACACCACTTCAGACCAGAAACAGAAACTCACCAGTCCCCAACAGAGGGCCTCCCGCTGCCCACGCATACTTCTTATCGCTGTAGAGTGTTGCCCCAGCCCTACCCGTAAAGACCATACACGTCCGCAGAGACCTCACATCCTGCATGGAGAATTCAACATTCATGGAAACCCTCACCCACACAGAGACCCCCAAAGATACCCAGTATTGTTCCCGCAGAGACTCCCAGCACCACACTGCCACTCTTAGCTTTACACAGACACCCACTCAACTTCCTAATCCCTCGGCCCTAAACTCGCAATTCTAAACATCCATACTTTCCCCGCAGAAATCTCAAGCCCTCCTGCAGAGATCCCCTCATCCTCACACAGAGACTTTCCCCAACCCAAAGATGCTAAGACACTGCATGACAGACACTAACACACTGAAGTACAGACTTCTGCCTTCTGCCTAGAGACCCTCTTTGCACCTTCCTACCTTCCATGCACCTGCCTGCAGATGCTATGTAGATACCCAGTAAATGCATATAAAGTCTGCTCCCTGCACAGACTCTCCTCCACCCCCATCCGCCAACACCAGACTTCGACTGCACACACACCATCACACCAGTCACTGCTGCATACTGTTTAATCTCGAACACCCTCAACAACACCCACTGTATCCATATAACCACCAAATAAAACTGTAGCACGGATACCCCATCAGGCACACACATTCACAGTCTAGACACACGTACAGATACTCTGTTACACACTCACATGCATAGACCCCTCCACACAGCTCTTGTACACATACAGCCATGTGCACGCAGGTTCTCACTGCAGTCTCTCTCATGGACACTTTACAGACATACACACACCAACCACCCACAAACGCACCGAGTACCTACATCTCACCAGGCTCCTCTCGTTTGTCCACAAAGGCACTGAGAACCCACTCGCTGGAGAGAGAATGCGACAGTGACATAGAATGTGCCTGCCCGTGAGTGCTGGGTCTCCACTGTCACCTGTGTGGTCCCCTTCTGGGGCCTTGGCTGTCGAGGAGGTGGCTCTCATTGCCCCTGGCACAGTGGCCCTGACCTCCAGCATGGCTAGTCTTGAGTTTGAGTTTCTGGGCCTTGGCCCTTTTTGTGCAGAGCTGGCACCACTGGCAAGCTGGAGACAGAAGGAGTGGCAGCCTTCTGCATGTCAACCTTGTAGTTTGCGGAAGGGAGCAATGGGAAGATTATAATGACTTCTTCAGGTGGAATCGTAATAAAAAGGCAAGATAACAATTCTGGAGTTAAGGTCAAAAAAACCCTGTGTGAGGGGCCAGCCCGGTGGCGCAGGCGGTTAAGTGCACATGCTCTGCTGCGGCGGCCCGGGGTTCGCTGGTTTGGATCCTGGGCGCGCACCGACGTACCACTTGTCAAGCCATGCTGTGGCGGCGCCCCATATAAAGTGGAGGAGGATGGGCATGGATGTTAGCCCAGGGCCAGTCTTCCTCAGCAAAAAGAGGAGGATTGGCGGATGTTAGCTCAGGGCCGATGTTCCTCACAAAAAAACAAACAAACAAAAAAACCCTGTGTGTATCTGCAAAACCAAATTAGGAAATTTCTAGTCTTTATAGACTATAGAAATTTATAGGCTTAGCTTCTGACTCTAGAAATTACATGGCATGTACCTCATTCTGTCAGCAGGGGACACCAAATAGTTTTTGGGGAGTAGGAAGCTACAGAAATATCAAGAGGGGATTTTTTTTCTTCTCTTCTTTTTAGGGGGGGAAGGGGGTATTTGTCTCTCCCAAAAGGTAGAAGGATGAGCCGATGAAAGAACCACAACTTGCAGTATTTTATATGCGTGTTGTGTAACTCAGAGATTCTATTAATGTAAAAAAAAATCAGTACAAGCCACACAGCAGAGGTATTTCCTGACTTGGCTTTATGTTGCTTTCCACTGTCAGATTTAGGAGGCTTTTCTGTTGTTCTCCATTTCTTCCGTCATAAAGTGTCTAGACTAGGGGTAGAGTCGTAGACTCCTATAACTGGAGGAGAGGACCTTGGTGAGCATGTGGAGAGGTGAGGTGGAGGGCAGCGTGGCATAGTGGAAAGAACAGAGCACTGGGAGTCAGGCCTGCGTTCAGATCCTGGCTCTGCCACCTGCTGCGTGACATCAGCAAGTTACTGAGACTTTTGGAGTCTGTTTCCTCACCTGGAAAATAAGGCTGATAGCCTTTATCCAGGGAACCTGGCTCTTAGTACGTACTCAGTAAATAGTTCCTCTCTCCCCAAGATGACTTGACCAAAAGCATATAGCTGGTGGGTGTGTACAAGGTAGGTGGGCTTGGCCCCTGAGCCCTCGGTAAGGAGGGGCCTCCACCCCCGTTACATTTTTGGTGATTTTGGCATCATCCCCAAGCAGGCTGAGGGCAGGCATCACCACAAACGCTAACACTGCTCGTCTGCTCAGCAGATAAACATCAGAGTCGAGGCCTGAAGAATCAGCAGCTGTCGTCATCCTTTCACGGCATCATAAGTCCCAGCAAAGATCACGGCCTGAGGCAAGAGCACAGACAGGACAAAGATGACAACAAGCTCATCCCTTCTTACTCCTCCAATGTGAGTCTCCCCCACTTTGCCAAAATAGAAGAGAACCTCTCCAACCAGATCAACGAGAGTCTGCGTTGGGATGGAATTCTGGCTGACCCAGAGGCAGAGAAAGAAAGGATTCGCATATACAAGCTTAACCGCAGGAAGCGGTACCAGATTTTGGCCCTCAAGGGCTTCTGCTCTGACCCCTGTGCTGAGGAGACTCCTGAGAACCTACCCTACCTCTCAGAGAAAGACAGCAGCACCAACAGCAGGCCGCCCTCGTTAAAAGCCAACAGCCCCAATCCCTGCTTTGAAGGAAGCCTTGCTCCAAAGCCCCTGCACTCTGATTAGCTATGACTCTGCCCGGGTGAAAATCCACCCCTGACACTGGCAAGCTTATCACTTATCCTTACCACAAGTTTATGTGTTAAAAAGAAGAAGAATAAACGGAAATCAGACCTACATCTGAAGGAAGCAGATGTTTGGTGTGTTGGTGGTCAACCTCTCCTTTCAACAAGGTGCCCTTAATTGCCCAGGAAAACCACAGTTCCTTAAGAACATAAGCAATTTAATGAACGAAATTCTTTTGAGTTTCCTTTTTCTCAAATAAGCTGGCATCTCTCTTTCTTACTTAATTTCTTATCACAGTTAGATGTCTATAGTCTGCCCCCCCACCCCGCACCAAAAAAAGAGAGTGTATAGATTATATCACTTCTAAATCTTAAACTAATTTCATGGGTAACTCCTCACACAAGCATGCTTCTGTAGGCCCAAGGAAAATGCCCCAAATATCCTGGAGACTTTTTTTTTTTAATTAAGTACACTCCCTGCCCTTATGTGGCCTTTAAAATAGGTGAGTACCAGAACTTCATCCCTAGGAAGTTATTATGAAAAGTCTCAAAAGGAATATTATTTCTTCTTATAAATATAGTCCTCCCCTAATGCCCCAAGATGGCATTTTAAGCAAAATTCTAGAGCATTGAAAATGCCCTACTATACTATTTGTCCTAAATTAGTATTCCTCCCTTCCGCAAATATTTATTGAGTGAGAGCTGTGTGCTGTCTTAATTTGGGTTCTCCCAGAAGCAGATCCTGAAACAAGGATTCAAATGCAAGTAGATTATTTGGGAGGTGAAGGAAAGATCAGTAGAGAGGATACAGGGAAAGGAAGACAGCCAATCCAGGGGACACTATTAAGCCAGCTTCCATACTGGGCAACTGGGGCTTAATCCCACAGGGAAACCCTGTCAGAACCATCCCACCTGAGGGTGAGGGAGCCGAGGTATTTATACTCCCCAGGGGCATTGGCTGAGGGCTGTCCACCCCTGGGAGCGTGTTAATTTTCTGGCATTTCCAGGCTGCCACTCATGGGGGCCTAGAGGCCTGCCTCAATTGTGGGGGGAGATTACCCTCGGGCACAAAGATGTAGCCCGAAAGGTCCCAGGGATGGGGGGGGGTCACTGGGGTAGCATGGGCCACTTGTGTGCAACACAATGGAGGGCCCTAGAGGGACAGAGTGGAGGTGTAAGATGAGGTCCCTGCCTTCCAAGGAGTTAAACTGTTTTGGAGTAGGCAAGACATGCTGTGTACACAGGAGAGGTTAAAAGCCGAGACAAAACATCACACAACGCTTATTTGAAGGTTAAGCGAAAGTGGGCATCTTGGTCCCACTAGCCCCCGGCTGACAGAGTGGCCCTCGCCTTACCCTTCCTTAAAAGACCAGTGACAGAGTTTTCACCTTTCTGCCATCGTACCCTGGCGAGATATACAGAAGGGACTGGTGGCAGAGCCCTGTCCTCCCCTGGAGAGGAGGTCGGCAGTCGGGCCAGCAGGGCCTGAAGAAGACGGGAGTGGCACCCCTGTGCCTGGGCCAGGCCTGTCCTCCGCTGCCCAGGTTGAGGAGCACCCATGGAATCAAGCAAAGGGGACCAGGGCTTTGGTGTGGCTCAGTGGGGAGGGGAGGTGGGAAAGGAGCTACTGCTCAGCTCCAGGACCTTGCCTGATGCCCCAGAGCTCAAGGTGAAGTCAGCCCAGGGTGGAGCAGCCGGGCTGGCGTCCCCTGTGCCCTCTGGATTGACCATAATGGCTGGAGGTGTGGTGCATGGAGGAGTCTGAGGGCTCACCGGCCTCGGGATGCATTGGCGGCTTTGCATTGTCTTCCATGGGGGTGGGGATGAGGGTGGCCTGTAGTCGCCTTTCTGCCATGAGATATTCTGGGATAGTGGTTAAAATTATGAGCTTTGAGGTCAGAGGTGAAGTTACCTCTTTCCCATCACATGCTAGCTGTATGACCTCAGGCAAATTGCTTAACCTCTCTTAGCCTTAGTTACCACATCTGAAAACAGAGATGCAAACACCTACCTCAGTGTTGTGAGACTCAAATGCAGTAATTACCCCAGCATTTAGCCTAGCGCCTGGCTCCTAGGAAGCACTCAATCTATTGTAAGAGTTTTCAGCAATGTTATTGTAGGTTAGGGTAGCTCCACAGTCACTGGAGAGACTGTCCTGGGTGGTGGTGTAGAGCTCATCTCATCAAAGGTGAGCTGCACAAAGACACGTGGCTTCAGTGGCTGGCAGAGTGATATAATTCAAACAAACCACAAAACAAATTCCAGGGGTCTGGAGCAGGAAAGAATGTAGGAGGAATGAAGCAAGGGTCTCAAGGGGAGGGGTCTTTGGGCCAAACAAGAAAGTGCCTACTTGTAGCCTGGAACCAAATGAGAGTCTGTGCTTAAGACATAAATAGAGGACGCACGTGGGCATTAATGCTTCCACAAGCACTGAAGTGGCTCCAACTCAAACCACGTTGGGTTAGAAGTTTTAAATGTCTTTCTCACACCCAGGCTGTATCAGTGAGGACCCTTCCAATGGCAGAGAATAGAAAATCCAATGAAAACTGGCTTACTAAAAAAAGGGGGTGGTTATAAAGCCAAAAGTCCAGGGTTGGCTGTGGCTTCAGGCATGGCTGGATCCAGGAGGTCACACTGTGTCATCAAAATTTGTCTCTCCATATCTTGCCTCTGCCTCCACTGTAGTAGCTTCATGTTAAAGCAGGTTCTCTTAACAGGATGGCAAATATGGCCACTGACATCCTTATAGTTCTTTGAAGAAAAAAGAGTCACTCCTATGTCCCTATCTGGTGTCTCTATCAATCCCAGAGAAGGTCTCTGGCCTGGCATGGGTCATAAGCCCATCACTGGACTAATCACAGTGGCCAAGGACATGGAGTTTGACTGCTGCACAGACCTAGGGTATGGTGGGGAAGTTGGGGGCTGGCAGGGGCAACCCCACTGGACACATATACTGAACAGATTATTATAGAATCTATATAAACTTATATAGAATACAGTGATTCCATAGAGAGATGCCAAGTAGACAGAGTTGTCCATTACCCTCCAGATGAAGAATGATTTATTTTTAAAAGGCACTAACCAAGGGTCATGGGGGTGGATTGCACAGCAGGAGTTAATCTCAACTGGTCTGAATTGACTGCACGCTTATCTCCAGAACTATAGACCTTTGGCTGAGAATCTACTATGGAATCTATTAACTAAAGATGAACAATGTTCTGTAACCATGGGTCCATGTGTGGTTTTGGAGCAGAATGTATCAGCCGGTCAGCACTGTTCAGTAATAATAACTGGGTTTATGATTTGCGCCTGATTTTGGTGGAGCCTATGGGGGTGGGTTTCCGCTTTTAAGGTTGGTCACATAGCTAGAATGTGTCTACATGACCAGCCCACTATATGACGCTCCCACCATGAGTAGACTTTGGGCTTCCACACCAGCGGTGGCTGGAGACGTGGGGACGGAGTGCTCCCATGTGAGCCTCGTGAACATCCACCATGGACACTCAGGAAGACAGATTCCAGGGATGTAACAACTTTCGTGTGGATTAGTGTGGTAGATGTCCCCCAGTGATGTCCGCCTCCTGGTGTTCACGCCCTCCCCCTGAGAATGGGCCGAACCTATTGACTCTTTCTAATGAATAGAATGGGGCAAAAGTGATGGAGTGTCACTTCCAAGGGGGGTTATGAAAAGAGACTGTGTTCAGGGGAGGGAGGGAAGGACGGCAGGTGCAGCACAGGTGGAGGAAGGATGAATAGGGCCGTGAAACTATTCTGTGTGGTACTGTAACGGTGGAGACGTGTCATTATACATTTGTCCAAACCCATAGAATGTCCCACACCACGAGTGACTCCCAATGTAAACTGTGGACTTTCACTAATAATAATGAATCAATATTAGCTCATCAATTGTAACAAATGTACTACACTAATGCAAGCTATCAATAGTAGGGGAAACTAAGAGGAATGTTGAGGGGAGACGTGGGAAATCTCTGTACTTTCACCTCAATTTTTCTGTAGAACCTAAAACTGCCCTCAAAAATAAAGTCTATTAATTAAAAGAGAGAGAGGCTGGGCTTCCGTCTGGCGCACACTCTCTCTCTCCCTCTTGCAGGGCTCTTTCCCTCAGTCGCTATGTTCCCTGAGTGGTGGGAATTATTATCTCCATTTTACAATGTTGGCTTAGAAAGAGGAGATGACTCGTAAGAGATTTGCTCTAAGGTCTCCAATTGTCTTTCTAGGAAATGTTTATCAAGCAACTGCTAAGTATGCAGTTCTCTGCCGATTGCTGCCGGAATGCTGATGCTGACAGTCTCTGTTGATGAGGCCCCAGGCCTGTCCAGGCGTGGTGTTAGGCACTTTAACATACACAACTTCATTTCATCCCCACAACAGTCTTTGAGGTGGGAGGGTGGTATGATCCCATTTACACACGAGGAAACAGACACAGATTGGGAAAGTGACTTGCCCGGGGTCACACAGGGCCCAAGGGAAGGAGCTGGGATGTCATACCCGGGTCTGGCTGGTTCCAGAGATCCAGGTCTTAATCACTAGACTGCGGTGCCTCAGACAGGCTCCCAAAGTAGCAGGGAGCCAAGCAACACACACTCCTGCAGCTGAACCACAGTGGAGAGAGACAGATGAAGACAGCACGAGGGGCTTGTCAGTCGGGCCGGTGGTGGGAGCAGGGCGCGAGTGTTGTTGGAAGGAGAGAGTTGTTCCTAGGAACTGTGGCTGGAAGAGGAGCTTCCTGGGGAGAAGAGGCATTGGGAGGTAGGAATCTCCACCCGCTGGGCTCCTGAGGGCCCCTGGGATGATGGGAACACACTCTCTCCGGCCTCCTGGCCACACTGTGTGCTTGTTCATGGTCAAATCCAGCCTTTGAGACTACTGACACGCCCACCTCTGATCATCACTGGGAAGGGTTGGGGAGGGTCCCCCCTCACTCGGCCCTCCCCACTTAATCACAACACCCCAGGCCAGCACTCCAGCCTGCAGCTGCTGCCCGTGCCTTGGCGTTGAAGATGGTGCCTAAGACCTTGCTGCCCAAAGTGTGGGCCTGGGACCAGCAGCCCCAGAAACTCTCTTGTTAGCTGACTCTCAGGCCCCGCCCCAGACTTCCTGAACCAGAAGCTGTAGTCTGACAAGACCCTCAGGGGGCTCCTATACATGTTAACACATGAGAAGCTCGGTTGTCGGGAGACGATCCCTCCCAGGTCTGTCATGTGTCTACACATCTTGTGAGGAGAGTCACCTTTGTTCCAGACTTTTGGAGGATGTTGGTATGACAAAGGGCCTTGGAAGACAGTGAGTATCTC